AGTGGAAGGGGGTCATAAAAAAGTTATGTAAAACAGAGAATTTTTTTTAAAACTTTTAAGTCACTTAATTTTGTGTGGTCTGGGCTTTCATGAGAGTAAAATAGCACAGCCTCCCTAATCCAGCACCCAAGCAGATTATCGGCTGCTTCAGAAAAAAAAAAAAAGAAAAAGAAATTTAAAAAAGGCATGAATATCTTGAATTTCACCAACTACACAAAAGACTTGCATATGTCAAAATGCCGGACGAAAAGTCCCCGTGAAGGTAGCGCCATTAATCAAACCTCTGATCTGGTGTCCCTTTCGCCAGTAAAAAAAAAACGATGCTGTCCCCCCACCCCCACCCCCATCGCTGGCTCATGCAAGAAGTGTGTCCCCCCCGGTTTTCATGTGCCTCCAGATAGCCTGGTCTCCGCACTTCCCATCCTCGCCTTGGGAAAACCACGGCTCAGGGGAGGCAGTCCACGCGCGCGTCGGCTCAGGGAGGGGAGAACGAACAGGGGCAGATCTCCATGGCACTTGGCTCCCTGGGAAGGAGAGGTCTGTGGGAGTGGGGAGCACGGGGTGGGGGCAGACACAGGACACACGTAAAGAACGCTCAGGAGGGACAAAGCCATTCCCGGGGCAGCTGGATGACACAGACATGCATCGCCGGCATTCTCCTGTGCCCTCGCCCCATTAAAAAAACATGTCCGCGTCCCTCCAGCTCACACCCCCTCCAGAGGAGCCTGCTCGGTGGCATCAAAAACTTGACTGTGAGGCGCAGGGCAGAGTCCCCAAAGCGTATTTCTTCTCCCTGGTCCTCCCAAATGTGGCACCGCATTCAACCGAGCAGCCCAGTCCTTGGAGAGTTTCAGCTAAAGGCAGGACCCAACCGGGCAGCCAGGGGAGCCTTCCTGGAGCCGCAGGAGATGCAGGAGCCAGTCCCCAAAAGTCAAGAACCTCATCTTCGCCCTCCCCCCTAGACACATATTTTTTTTCAAGCTTTGTCATATCTGTGGTCTGTACTGAGTTACAGCTTGTGAAACGCCCCCAAGTTCCAAGGCACAGGATTGGGGATTTCTACAGAGAATGTTTTTAACGGTTTCTGCAGGCCAGAGGCCACTGCCCAGCCCCAGGCGGCCAGGTGACGGGGCCGCTTCATCTCCGCGTTGTCAGATAAGCCCGCTGCTGCGCCACGCTTACCACCAGCCCGACTCAAACATTAAACGAAGTAGAGAAATCATCAGATAAATTGCCGGCCCTCTGTGCGGAAGAGGGAAGGCTCCTCTGGCTGATGACAGCGCTTGGCTTTTGTCTGACCTAATTTATTTCTCTTTCGGGTTAGCATAAAGCACACTTCCCTGTCGCAGGGTAACCCCTTCTGCCCAGATACTGAACTCAGGCACAAGACTCGGGGTGAACTGTGCTGCCTCCAGATTTCTTCAACTTGAAGAAGCCATCACAGATGCAGAAATGCTGTGATCAAAAGCGCACACACACACACACACACACACACACACGCGCGCGCGCGCGCATTCCCCAGCACCAGACCGCACATGAAGGGAGACATGGTCCCTTTAAAAGCCAGCCATTGCGAGCCCCGTTTGGGGTGAAAGGGGTTCGCAACGTGGGGTCTAGCAAGCATACCCTCCTTCCGAACAAAGTTTCACGCGTTATTTGAGCTGGCATTTTATTTCTTTGGGGAATGATGCCCTGTCCCTTAGGACAGTGGGAACAGAACCTAATGAATGGAACTGAGAGTCCAAGTGTTATCAAACCTGAGCTAAAAGGACTTCCACTCCTCAAGCCGTTTTAGGTACACGACTCCCCAAAGCAGTGGTTCTCAGCTGTCCCCCGTCTCTGTGACCTGCAGCCTAGGCCCAGGGCCCTCCACCCCCCACCCCGGGTCAGGCATGCCTCAGAGCCGAGGGGGATTCTCAGAAAAGTCCAGACCACAGACTAGTCTGGGGGAAACGCACCATTCCAAACTAACCCTTTTAATTGTTTGTGTTTAAAAAAAGGGAAAGAAAATAAAATTGCCCCCACCTGCCAAGGGAGGGCTTGTAAATCAATGCTGATCGCTTGGAAATAGATTTCTCAAACTTATACTCTCATTCTGCCCGGCCCGAATCTCTGCAGGAAAATCAATATTACAACTTCACACTGAAGACATTTTTGCAGCCACTGAAGGGCCTGAGCCGCCCAAGGAAGCCCATTCCTGGCCATGGCAGCCAAGGCGCCCAGACATGACACGGGCGCCGAGCGCCCCCTAGCTGCCTAGTGGCGCCACGCGCGTCTCGGCGCCTCGGGCTTGTCATCCATCCACCAGAAGCCAATGCAACTGAAAGTTTATTTTGGAAAGTCTTTTATCACAACAAGCACCAGAGATTGCAAAGCGATGGGGAAGGGAGATGAAAAGAGAAAGGGGACGGCTGGTGCAAGCCGTGTTCTAAGCGAAAAGGCCCTGCCAAGAGCCCGGTTCTGATAAGACTCTGGAAACCGGTGCACTCCACAGTCGGAAACGGATCCCTCTGTCAAGGGGCCGTTCGGCCTGCTCCATCTCACGGAGACATTATGCTAATTATTGTCAAAGGCACCCGCAGCTGGCCGTTGCTTCCGCCAGGAGGACCCATTTGGTCCCGCACAGTGGTCAGCAGAGCCTCGCATGCACCCCCTCGGCCCTCAGCCTCCCTCCCTGCTCCTGAGGCCGATTCACCAGAGCGAACTGCATTCACTCCAGCGGTTGAGAAATGACTCGTTTTCTGTTATGAAATATTTTGAAGGCCAGACAAAAATCACCAAGGCCAGAGCACAGGCAGATAGCAACTTCTTCCCCTCAAAAAAGAAAAAGAAATAGGCATCTGTACATAATATCCGGGGGGAGGGGGGGGAGAAAACCTTTAAAAATATTAGGGGTTGTTAAAATATGCTCGCGGCTGTTTTCGCTCAGGTGTGAATTACAAATGAATAAAATCAGCCCGGCCTCACACCTGTGACGAACACCTTTTATTCTCCCGTGGAATCAGAGCAGCTGACTTATATCACACTTCTAATGATATGGGGTTTCCTTCTGTGCAGAAGGGAGAAAGATTTCACTCCCCCTACCAGCTACCCCCCCCCCAAAAAAAAAAGAAGGGCCTATAGCTTATGATATTGATCAGAGGCCCAATTTTGAAAGCTCGGCGGACCACTGGAGATGTGCGACCATACCCTGGGGGTTACGATCCCGGTAAGCACCGCCACCTTCCAAACAGACAGCGACAGCAAAGCCTACTGCAACGGCACCCGTGGAACTCACACAGCCGGACTTCGGAGTCAAATCTGGGGTCTCTAGTTGTTTCACAAAATCGTGAATTCTCGTGGAAAACGGCTCATCTCCCACAGAAACCTGTTGGTGGGCTGTTGAGATCTCCCCTTTCCTGGGGTGATGTGATGCACCGCGGGCATCTCAGTTTCTTGGGAAACCTCAGTTCCTCGTGGACGAGTGCTCCTGCCCTGCCTCTCACCCTGGGTGGCACCACAGGCTCCAGGCCCTTCCCTCGGCCTGCTCACCAAAAAAAAGTTGTTTTGCGTTTGCTTTTAGATTAATCGCTGTGTCTGTCCTCCGGTTTGAAAAGCCATCTCCATCTGGGTCAAACATTTTGAAACAAACCAGAAGCCCAGGGTTTCATCCCCAGCTGTCTCCCACACTCCTCATACCTCCCTCCGCTTCTCAGGGGTCCTGTCTGCAAATGTAACCAGCTCATCATGGAGCCCTTCGACTCCCCCCCGCCCCCGACACCCCAAGGTTACCCAGGCTCTTTCTGTGCTCTGGGTGTTTCCCAGACCATCCGTTCTTCCTAGGCTGCGTCATCCCTAAAGAGCCCCCGGCCGCTGCTCCCCAGGCCGGCCGGCTGCCACCCAACCGAAGCTGTACCACGCTGTCCGTGGTTCCTTCCTTTCACATTTAAAATCTAAAATGTGAACTCCAGGTGGGGGCTGTGACAGCACCCATTTTGCAGGCCAGGGCTCCAGCGCACCTCCCGGCCATGCCCCCAGCATCGTGGAGGGACACATGCACAGACCCGTGCAGCCTAAACTGCACCCAGTTCTGGCCTTTCCCCAGCCTGGACTCCCACCTCCGGGTGACACAGGACAGACCGAAAAGCCAGCTGCTTGTGGGTCATAAATAGCCTTGTCTACAAACTGGTCGGGCCACTCTCCCCGCTGAAACCCCTGCACATGCTTTGGACTCCCTGTGCCCTGAGAGGCAGGCGGGATACCCTTTGCCCTCTCGCCTCCTCGTCCCCACCTCCCTCCTCCTCTGCCTCCCTTCTCCCTCCCTGCCTGGGCTCCGCGCTGGCTTTCCCCAGCACCGCTCTGCGACTCAGAACAAATGAGACCTGGAAGGATGTCGCACCCGGCACCCCTGGGCCCCCTCACCCAGCTGCCTTCAGTCCTCCTGGTCCGGGCTTTCTCCCCGAAGCCCAGGAATGTCAGAAACGGAGCCAGCAAAAGCCAAGCAAACCTACCTGCTTCTTCCCCCTGACACACAACTGCAAACACGCCCGGCTGCTTTTTTGAAGCTGCTAGCTTAGCAATGCACCCCCACGACTCCCCCTTTCCCAGACCCCCCACCCCAACTTTCCCCTCCTCAAAAACAACTCTTGCCATTATACAGAAGCTGTGTGGGGCAAACTGCCTCCTGGAGAGATTATCTGCAAGTACAGACATTCTAACAACCACTCCACTATCCGCCTAAAGGTGGGGGGTCAGGGTGAGAAGCAATTGATTATGGTAAAGGGCCCAATGTCAACCGGCAAAAAGGAGGATCTGGGTCAAGCCAGGCTCAAATCGGGTTGCAAAACATTTTGTTTTAAATGCAACCGGGAAGTCCTCTTTCGGGTTAGAATGGTGCAAAATAAAAGAGACGTCCCGTCCTTCCCTCCAAAGGCACCCCTCTCCCAAGGTGAACCCCACATTGACACCTATTACCTTCCCTCCCCCCCCAAAAAAATAAGAATAAATCCACAAATTCTTACTAAGGTATCTGCTGTAACAAAGGAGGATGGCAGCAGCAACTGCTCCGAGCAGATGGCTCCTATGCTGGGAATTCAGGGGAGGGGAGAACCCCTTTATATATATATATATTTATTTATTTATTTAAATTTTTTAAAATATAACATTTAAAGGATAAACAGGGCATCATGACCTTAACCACTATCTGCTATTGTGGCTCTGCAGACTGC